AACATAAGCCTCATGTACAAAACTTAAATTATATTTGTGTACTATAGTACGCAATTTAAAAGAAACCGCTTTGAAGATGGAAAACTTAAAGCAATAGTCAGCATTGACATAGATCTCTATCTCTTTTACCAAAGTAATGTATGTATGTACTAAGCTTTCAATGAAGGAAATTTATTCATATGAAGACAACTATCAGATAGACGCACACACAGTCATATTAATATGCATTTGCGGTTTTGAACTGTTTCACTATTCAGTTTTCACATTACATTCCATTCGATTCATCTACCATGTATTTGTTCTACAGGAAAGGTTAAACATTTTTCGTTTTCCTTAAGGTCATAATAAATTGGTGTAACTGAAATTTGCTGTTCTTTTTTTTAGGCGGCGTTTCTCAAGCAAATGTACCATTTGTGGGTCCCGATGAAGTGCCACCACCGTATCAGGCCAACACTGGCACCGGTGTACCAATGGTTACATGCCGCGTGTGCCAAAATATGATCGATATCACAACAAAACGAGATCAGCACGTAGTGAAATGCAGTCATTGCAATGAGGCAACGGTAAGGATTTAAAAGCACAATTCAAGCAGTTAAATTGGCATTCAATTTTAAACTTTTATTTTTAGCCAATACGCAACGCTCCTCCAGGCAAAAAGTACGTGCGTTGCCCATGCAACTGTCTGTTGATTTGCAAGAGTTCATCGCAGCGCATTGCTTGTCCTCGGCCAAATTGTAAGCGCATTATTAATTTAGCACCAAGTCCGGTTACGCCACCCGTACCGGCCATGCCGGGCATGTGTCGTGTTACTTGCGGTCACTGTTCAGATACATTTCTGGTATGCACCATAGCTAAAGTGTTCTTTTTATTGTTTGTAAATGTGATTCTTGAAAAAGTAAATTTTTTTCTTGCAGTTTAACACATTTCACAATGCTCTAGCGCGTTGTCCCCACTGCAGGAAAGTGTCATCTGTTGGCTCGCGCTTTGCTTGCGGACGCGGTATGTTGTTCGCTGTACTTGGACTGTTGTTTCTCATTGCGGGCATTGGTATTACTGTTGGCACATACAAATATGCACAGGTATAGAATTTTTGCCTTCCATATGCATATTTGGAAATTTTGTTTTAACTCATGCATTTCGTTTGGTATTTTACAGGATCACGGTGGTATTATAATTGCTTATGTTGGCCTCTTTCTGATCGCAGCCTTTTTATTAGCACGTTCGGTTTACTATTTCCGTTTAAAAGTGAGCGCCATAGACGGTCCAATGTAAGGGCGAATTTAAATGTTTTTGTATCATTCCTTTTGATATTAACAAAACAATTGAAAACATAAAAAACGTATATTCATATAAACAAAGCCAGAGGGTAGTAAGCGAAAAGCAACTAAAAAGGCAGGCATAAAAGAGCAAAGAGTACTACTTTTTACACATAACATTCAAAGGAAATTTAAATTGATGCAAGATCCAAAAAAGGTACACCGTAACTTCGCAAAATAAATATGCAATCGAACAAAGCTGTATTGTAATTGCAAACGAAACTCGAGTGCGTGAATAACTACATTAAACTACACAATTTGGATTAAAAACATAGACTTAGTCTCAATAAAGTAAATAAGTGCTAATGCATGTAAATGTTAGCATGAAAGCTATAATTTTAAATAAAAAATAAAACAACATGCAAAATCTGTAAACTTTTTGTATAACAGTTTAAAAAAATTAAATTGATTTCACTTGTTTAGCAAATATCTGGTACTCGTAAGGACCAAACTGAAAATTTAGTTTACTTGAAAAGCGCGCCCAAACATCGCATTAAATGCGGAAATATGCTGCACTAGTAGAAATACGGCAATCAAAAATGTGAAGACTAATTTTTCATTTGGAAAGTACACAGTTTTACAAAGAAGCTAAACGTTTGGAAACTCAATTCACATGTTTGTTAGGTTAAATGTCGGGCTACAGCACTCTGCTTTATATATATATATTTTTTTAATTTGTGATTAGTCCTTTTTGCTTACCCTTTTGCTACTGTAATTATTTTATCGTAAACTCCATATGTATATGCTTGTAATCTTTGTTTGTGAAAGTTTATGTTCTCTGGCTAATACATATTCATGCATACAACAAAGCAGTAAGCTAAGATTATTCAACTTTAAAAACACACAAAAAAAAAATGAAACGAAAATCCCCGCTTCCGTTGCAAATCATCGTAGATTTATAGTCTAACAAATATAAAACGACAACATTTTGCTGTATGTTGACAATTTTCACGTGTAAGAAGTTGTTTCGCGGCTGGCGTAAAATGATGTTTGTTATAATTAGCTTATAATAATTTGGGTCACTCAACAATGATAAAAGAAAATATGTATTTATAAAAAATAGCAATTACGAGCCTCGAATTTCTCAAACGGTTCACGCTAATGAAAATGCATTCGCCAGTGTAGAAAAAAGGCAAATAAACCGGAAAACAAATCTGAATTCTATAAAAAAAAACATTTAATATTTACAAATATGATTAAATGAAATATTATGGAACTTATACAATTATATTTAGATTATTACGATATACTGTAAATAAATAAAGTTAAAACCAAATAAAATTGTGGTTGTCGTGTATGCAGTTGCGTAGCTCTCTAAATTTAGCCTAACGATATCGATGTTTTGAGGGCCATAATACAAAGGGTAATAATAATGGAATACTATTGATTACTACGGGATAGCATGCACATTTTCACTGGAGTCATCTCTGAGGAATTTCGCTTCTTGATCTACCTACATACACATTTTCCTTTCATTATTGCCGTTCCTTGTAGCTGTCGGACTTGAAATAGTTTAATTTATTATATATCTCTGAACTAAGAATTTTAACACTGGTCTTAAAATTCTCATTCATATTGATATTTATTGTATAAAACTAGCCTAAAGTTGGGTACGTATCATCCTCAAAAATATACTGCAAACTTCTGAATCATTTCACTATAACAATTTCCGTAGTACCGCCAGGAGGACCAGCTTCGAGCAGCGCTTGCTTAACATCATCAATTTTTATATCTTTGTCTTGGCAAATTAAGTTCAGAAAGTCCAAAAATTCCTCGAAATCCAAACGCCATTTTCTTAAGATAAGCAATTTGAAAAAGAGTTAAATTATATCATAAAAAATCGCTCAAAATTACTTGAATTTCATATAAGTCATGCCCGTTTCTGTCATTGTAAAAACCGTTTTTAACAGTTTCGCCTGATCCAGCCAAAAATCTATTTGTGATAAGAGTATACTCTCATACATTTCATTATCTAAATCCAAAGCGTTGAGGTTATTGTTGGCATAAAGTATAAAGAGACTTTCGATTGTATGGTTCTTTTCTTTATTTTCATCATCATCGGCCATGGCTCACGTACTATTAATTTTCACTTTATGCAAAAATGTGAAAATTTCGAGGTCAAACAGAGAAATGACGAAAGATGTTTGGAATTTGATATACTTTGTTTTTACTAAAGACATTTGAGATTCGATATTGGCATGGTAACCTCGTAATTTTTTGTTCTATATATACAGTGACTGTCAATCAAAATCGTACAGTATTTTTTTCATAATTTGAAAATATGTTTTATTTAAATTTTATTAATTTTTAATAAAAATGTAGTTCATACTACTGCAAAATCCATAAAACAGAAAGTTTCTAACTTTGTTACAACTAAAAAAAAATCGTCAAATTTTCATCAAAATTTAACACTTTAAGTTTAGAAGTTTTAGAATTTTTTGGGTATGCAGTTTTATAGCCCATACAATTTTATAATAAAGTACAAGTTTGAAGCAGAGCTGTTAATTTTTCTTACATAACCCAGCAATTAAATAATTAATTATAATTAAAAATAATAAAAAACAAGTAAGAAAGTCTAAGTTCGGGCGGAGCCGAACATTAAATACCCGGCGCAAGTATTAAAGATATGTTTTCCACCTTGCCGAAAGCTACCGCTACATGATATGCCGGGGTGTATACATTTTAAGTAAATTAGCGTCCCTAAATTTCGAC